GGACTACAGGCATACGCCACCACGCCCAGCTAATTTTTGTGTTTTTAGTAGAGACGGGGTTTCACCATGTTGGCCAGGATGATCTCGATCTCTGGACCTCATGATCTGCCTGCCTTGGCCTCCCAAAGTGCTGGGATTACAGGCGTGAGCCACCGCACCTGACATAGTGCACGTGTGTTCTATATAACGTGTGACACAATGAGGTCAGGGACCAGCCTCTGAAAGACATTAGGAGAGTGAGGGAGCCAGCCACACAGCTATCTAGAGGAGAGAGTGGTCCGAAGGGGAGAAACAAGTACAAAGGCCTAAGGCAGGAGGGACTATTACGTGCAAAGAACAGGAACCCAGTGTATGAGCTAGGGGAAGAATAGAGGGAGATTAAGTTAGAATGGGGCATGTGTGTGCATGTGTGCTTGATGTGGGGTGCATGTGTGTAGCATATGGTGTGTGTGTGTGTGTGTGTGTGTGTGTGTGTGTGTGTGTGTGTGCGTATAGCATGTAGAGTGTACATGAGATGTAGGGCCTTGTAGACCATGATAAGAGGCTTTGGATTTTACTCTGTGTGAGAAGGGAAATCACTGGAGGATTTTAGGGATACACATGGTGGAAGGTTTCGTGTGTGTGTGTGTGTGTGTCAGACAGACAGACAGGGTTTCACTAGAGAGAGAGGCAGACAGACGGTTTCACTCTGTCACCCTGTCTGGAGTAGGCTGGAGTGCAGTGGCATGATCGTGACTGACGTGTAGACTCTAACTCCTGGGCTCAGGCAAGCCTCCCACCTCAGCCTCCAAAGTGGTAGGATTACCTTGCTTGCCACTGTGCCCAGCCAGAAGGATTTCTTTTCCACCATTTCTATGTTTCATCCCCAAGCAGTGATAATCAGCAAAAAGAGGAGGGTGAATGTCAATGTTTTCACTATTCACTAATTTTCCCTTTGTCTACTCATATAAGGCTCATGACGTTCAAGATTTGACCTCCTTCACTGAAATATCTACATAGTTACAAATCAAACACAAAACCACCAAATTTCTTTCTAGTCATCAGCTTCCTAGGAAACAATTAGAAACATTTTCCTCAGCATAACCTCTCTGGTATCTTTATCACAAGATACTTTTTATTTTTCCAGATCAACTTCCAGCTTTTATTTATTGACTTATTGATTTATTTTTATTGACTTTTATTTTGGGTTTGGGGTACATGTGAAGGTTTGTTACACAGGCAAATTCCTGTTAAGGAGGTCTGTTGTACAGCTTAATGCATCACCCATGCATTAAGCCCAGCATCTAACAGTTATCTTTTCACACCTGGTAATTCTTACTTCACTCACTTTTGCCACTCCTGCAAAAAGCAGTTCCTTAGAACTCATACAGTTCTCTTCTCAGAAGTCTGCAAAACATTACAGAAGGAATGTTTTACCTTTTTTTTTCTTTTGAGACAGTCTTGCTCTGTCGCCAGGTGCCAGGCTGGAGTGCGGTGGCACAACCTCGGCTCACTGCAATCTCCACCTCCTGGGTTCCAGCAATTCTCCCGCCTCAGCCTCCTGAGTAGCTGGGACTACAGGCACACTGTTTTACCTTTTTAAAATTAATCCTTATTATCACTCCTATAAATAGATGAACAGACATCAACTCCGCTGAGCCAGCAGATGGAGAGAGTGATCCAACCCCTGATGGTTCTTTCTTCTATGACATTAGTCTTACCAGGTAAGAAGTGGGTATTAACATTGCTTACTTCAGAGTAAACAAAATTTTGGGAAGATCAATTAGAAAGCGGGAAGGAAAATACTATTTCTTTGCTGACGACTACAAGGTTTTGGCTGGACGCAGTGGCTCATGCCAGTAATCCCAGCACTTTGGGAGGCCGAGGCGGGCAGAACACCTGAGGTCAGGAGTTTGAGACTTTGGGAGGCCGAGGCAGGTAGATCACCTGAGGTCAGGAGTTTGACACCATCCTGGCCAACATGGTGAAATCCCGTCTCTACTAAAAATACAAAAATTAGCTGGGTGTGGTGGTGTGCGGCTGTAATCCCAGCTACTCGGGAGGCTGAGGAATGAGATTTGCTTGAACCTGGGAGGTGGAGGTTGCAGCGAGCCAAGATCATTCCACAGCATTCCAGCTTGGGTGACACAGCAAGACTCTGCCTCAAAAAAAATAAAAAAACAAGATTTTTTGCTAGCTCTTCTTGGCTCTAACCCTACTTAGAAGAACCCTCAGTTCTTCTACACGTTTAAATAGTTACGTATTTTTACCCATTCTGTGGCGTTCTTTTTTTCATATCAACTAAGAACCTATAAACCGCCAAAATCTGGATGATCACAATTCACTGTAATAGCCAACAAGGGACATACCAACTGACTGGGATGGCATTTTGTAATTAAGGAGCGAAAAGCCGGCACTTCCTTGCCAAAGGAACCGAGTACATGCACAGACTCTCGGCAGCGAAATCGGTAGTAAGGCACAAGCAAACAAGACCTATTTGGGCAAAAAGGAAAAGTGGGTGGCAGCACAATGTGGTGGTGAAGAACCCGAGCCTGGATTCAGGATGCTCGGGTCTGAATGCAGTTCTGTGACTTTGACCCTCTTGTCCGTCCCCCCTCCCCTCCACCTCCTCATAGGACGCTACAGGGAGGACTAAAGGAGCTGACGTTGCACAACGCTGACCCCGTATCCGGCGCACAGCGCTCCATGAGTATTTGTAGCTATTTTTATACACTCGGTAAATTTTATTCCTCCTAGCAGGTGGAGGATTTAGATCTGAGGCAAGGTTGAGGTGTTAGAAGTCCAGAAAGAGAGGCATTAGTAAAAGCAGTACACAATCTGATATAGTTGTTAGAGAAAGTCACAACTAAATAAGCCAAGGAGAGAGACTTTCTCCAACAGATCATTTACAGTAAAACAGCTAACAAGCACTTTTGCCCTGTGGAAACTGATTCCTGGGAGGGATGCCTGCTTTACTACTATTATCATGCAATAGGATTTTATCTACACGAAAAAGATACTTTCACCTCTGGGAAATTTACTTGAGAAATAGTGATAAAATGTTCAACATAATACAAATATCAACCTTCCTGAATCAATATTCAACCTTGTATCAACATTCTTCTGTCTTTGTATATTCTCTGATGATTCTTCTGAACACCATCAAATTGAATGAAGTGTAATGTACCTAATTCTACTGCAGTCTCTATTTATAGCCTGGAGGTATTTTTGAACAGTGCTGGGTACAAACACCAACTCAGTCCAGAGGAAACTTCAATTTAAGAGCAAAATTGTAAGACAATGAGTCAGAAGACTAGAAGGAAGGTGTTATGATATTCCTTTGCCCAAAGTCACCTACAAACCCAAGTAGTGTTTTTCACTCGGTTTCCAGGGGTAAACATTCTGCAATATCCGGAACTATATTTCAGCTTCTGCAGTCATTTTAAAAGCTCTTTAAACAAATGGGGTCTGGTTTCACTGAGGTCCAGGAAGTGCTTAGAGAAATTTAAGGCTAGACATGAAAGCAGAATCACAGCTATACCAGACAGTATGACCTCGGATGCTCTTTGATGGATTGCCCAGACTGAATTTGATGGGGGTGAACAGGGGGTTGGGGGGTGGGGAGAAGGGAACACATACATACACACACCAAGTCCCAGCCCCTCCCACTCCTAAATAGCAGCAATCCATGCAACTGTACTTTAAGAAAACATGCCTGAGAGAGTACAACTTGTCACATCTGGTAGTTCACAATCACATTCTTGCAATAGATAAAAAAAGGGTCTCTCATTTTAGATCTAAAGGTGGATAAACTTGATGACTGATCTTTAATCTGTTTTCATGCTTCTGAATAATAATTATACGTAAGTTTTCCTCCAAACTTGCCAGGTAACAACTACGAAAATTCTCAGGCCAGGCATGGTGGCTCGCACCTATAATCCAGGCAATTTGGGAGGCTGAGGAGGGTGGAACACCTGAGGCCAGGAGTTCAAGACCAGCCTGGACAACATGGCATAACCCTGTCTCTACTAAAAATAAAAAATTAAGGGCCGGGCGCGGTGGCTCAAGCCTGTAATCCCAGCACTTTGGGAGGCCGAGGCGGGTAGATCACGAGGTCAAGAGATCGAGACCATCCTGGTCAACACGGTGAAACCCCGTCTCTACTAAAAAATACAAAAAGTTAGCTGGGCATGGTGGTGCGTGCCTGTAATCCCAGCTACTCAGGAGGCTGAGGCAGGAGAATTGCCTGAACCCAGGAGGCGGAGGTTGCGGTGAGCCGAGATCGCACCATTGCACTCCAGCCTGGGTAACATGAGTGAAACTCCATCTCAGAAAAAAAAAAAATTAAAAAAAAAAATAAAATAAAAATATAAAAATTAGCTGGGTGAGGTGGCAGGCGCCTGTAATCCAGCTACCCGGGAGGCTGAGGCAGGAGAATCGCTTGAACCTAGGAAGCAGAGGTTGCAGTGAGTAAAGATCATGCCATTGCACTCCAGCCTGGGCAACAAGAGTGAAACTCTTGTCAGAAAAAAAAAAAAGAGAAAGAAAAGAAAAAGAAAAAAGAGAGAAGAGGGGAAGGGAGGGAAGGGAAGGGGAGTGGAGGGGAGGGTAGAGGAGGGGAAGAGAGGGGAGGGGAGGGGAGGGGAGGGGAGGAGGGGAAGGAAGGAAGGAAGGGAGGGAGGGAGGGAGGGAGGAAGGAAGGAAGGAGGAAGGAGGGAGGGAAGGAGGGAGGGAGGGAAGGAGGGAAGGAGGGAAGGAAGGGAGGGAGGGAGGGAGGGAGGAAGGAAGGAAGGAAGGAAGGAAGGAAGGAAGGAAGGAAGTAAGTAAGTAAGTAAGTAAGTTAGTTCTCCTATGTGCTATTTTATCCCATGAAAAGGTCTGAACACGTCAATATACTCTCAAGCCCACCTCATTTGACCCTATCCTGCCTGGACTCAAAGCACACCCCTTGTTAGAGCTTATAGTAGTTAGTTCCTAAGCATCTATGCACATGCAGGGGTAAGACTCCATTCCTCTGATACCTGGACCCAAACTGGACACAAGAAAAATCATCACCACCACCACCACCTTCATCATCACCATCACCATCACCATCACCATCATCTTCTTCATCTTCTTCATCACTACTGTCCCCAGAAAGTGCGAGGAAGAGGAAGGAGAAAGGATTGTCGTACATACTACCACAACAAAAGCAAAAAAGGCCATCAGAGAACAAAGGTAAAACAAGAGGAGGAGAAACTTTTGCAAATGTTGACCTTTTAAATAAATCTTACACTAAAACTTCTGTCCACTGACATGCAGAAACATAATTCATCTAAATTACAGAAACACATATAGGAACATTTGAGAGAAGGGGCCACTGGATTCATGGAATTCTGATACTGCTTTCTTCTAAGAGACTGAACTTATGCACAACTAAAACTCAACATGTCAGGGCATGAACCGACTCACCCCACTCACCAGAAGTAAAAAACACCAGGCCCAGATTTGCTCCCACACCCTGTTGGTCTGACTCCATTTCAATTACCACTGGCAACAGGACAAAAAGCCAAAAAGGGTTCCTGTGACCCCCAACTCTCAAAGGGAAGAAAGGGACTCATAAGAGAGCAATCCAAACTTTCCGGCATTATCTCAGGGTACGTGCCTACCGAACTAGTTAGCCACACAGGTTAATAACCCAAAACAACAACAATTAAACAGAGTCAGTGTCACACAGCAGTTCTTCCAAACCGTGTTAATCTCCTTTCCCTGCACGGCAAACACACACGCAATTCTCCTGCGGGATAAATACCTAGGAGAGATCCTCAGGGAGGAGGGGTGTCTGTTCGTGGCACTGGGTGAGGCGGGTGGTAGGGGTGGACCCGTGCTGCTGGGCCTCTGTCTGGAACTGCTGGTGGGCACTGCTTGGGGGTTACTGGTGAGAGCAGGGGGACTTGGGGAGGTTGACAGAATGGAGACACCTGAGGATGCCCACGGGTGAGTGACAGTGTAGGGGCGATACCGCGGGGATGGGGGCTGGCTTCCTGCAGCAGCTCCAGAGGCTGCACTAGGACTGAGGGGAGTGGAAGGCACAGCCAGCTGGCTGGCTGCACGGGAAGGTGAGGCAAAAGACGGGCCCATCACGGGCACAGAGCTCCAGGAACTGGGGGTGGGAGCCGGACTAGTTTCATAGAGGCTAAATGAGTTGAGAAAAGGGAGGAAAGAAGAGAAAAATCAAAGAAAAATTTGAGATAAAACAAAAAGAGAAAACATCAAGCTTTTAAAGGATAGAATCATTTCCGTTTACGTATACAGATCTATCAGATAAGCATCTAAATAATTATAATCTAATTACTCTATTGATCTAGAGGCCCCCTTTCAAAGAATGATGTAGTACACACAGCCAACTGGTTCTAAAATTTCATCTACCAATAGCTCAACCATAGAGAGCCAAAAAATAACAATCTAAAAAAGAGAGTTCCACTTTCAGTGACTAAAACCACCTCCCCAAATATGATATATGCCATACCCTCCGTGGCACAGATCAACATTGTAAACAAATATTCCCTTTACCTGTGTACTTCATGACTCTTTTACTAGCAGTTAGATGTGCAAAGAGAACCGCACTGACCTAGACAAAGAGCTGGCACCAAAGGAACCCACGCTGCAGAACATGGGGCTTGTTCCCGGATTGGAGCCAGTGTTTAGCAGGAGATTTCTGTCTGGTGACCGTGCTGCTGCAGCAATTGGCTGTGATGTGGCTGTCAGACTGGCAAATGGGTTTTCATCTCTAGTCTGAGTGGACATCATTAGCACTTCCATTAAAATCTGACCAATCAAGTCCTTAAAATCGGAGAACACTGTTGGAAAGAGAATAATGAATAAAGAACAGGTTACACACAGTTCTTCATGTACACAGCCCTCAAATAAGCCAAACTGACCCCGAGTGGTTCGATGCAGTATTCTGGTTTGGATTCTGGAATGGAAAAAAGGACATTAGTGGAAAACCTGGTGCAACTTAAAGCCTTGTGTTTAGTTAGTAATAATTTCTTAGTTTTGACAAATGTACCATGCTTATATAAGATATTAACATCAGGGAAAACTGGGGAAAGTATACACAGGAACTCCTTGCATTAGCTGAAACTATTCCAAAATTAAAAGTTTATTAAGAAAAAAAGATTGTGGTACAGTCAATGAGAGTTAACACTGATGTATATTAACTGTAAATGAAGCTAGGCCGGGCGCGGTGGCTCACGGCTATAAACCCAGCACTTTGGGAGGCCAAGGCAGGCGGATCACAAGGTTAGGAGTTCAAGACCAGCCTGACCAACATGGTAAAACCCTGTCTCTACTGAAAATACAAAAGTTAGCCGGGTGTGGTGGCGAGTGCCTGTAATGCCAGCTACTTGGGAGGCTGAGGCAGGAAAATTGCTTGAACCCGGGAGGTGGAGGTTGCAGTGAGTTGAGATCATGCCATTGCACTCCAGCCTGGGCAACAGAGTAAGACCCTTTCAAAAAAAAAAAAAAAAAAAAAAAAAAAAAGAAGCTACTCCCAACTACAGAGGTTACTTTATTATACTACAAATACAACTGGGTTAATATTTCTTAGTCTAGATACATTTTATATACAGTAATAAAACTATTAAGTCCAAGGTTCAAAAGATTTTATAAAGGGTCCAATATCTAGTCACCATCAGCTTTCAGGAGCAAATGCTAGTCTAGCTTCCTTCTTATTCTTGGCAGCTCCCAGTTGATTTATTGTTGGTCTTTAGATGCATTTTAAATATCACTAAAAAAAAATTTAACTCATGGAAATTTTATCTAGTTTGGTTATTTAAAATTATCACTTACATGTGTAAGATAGATGTGGAATCTTAAGATTTCTAATAAGAAGTGGCAGAGTCTTAAGATACATGGTCTGCTCCATGAGCAGAGTTAATAAGAAGATGCCAGTAAAATCAGAAATAGTCTTATCTACCCTCCAGAAACACAAAGGACTTTTTTTCCCCTCCCCAGAAGATAGGCATCATAGAAAAGAGAAAGGCAATCTTCTTGATAGTCACTCATCCATTTAAAATGTATCTATTGAGGTACTATTTCCTGCAAGATATCCTTCCAGGCACTGGGGATACATCAATGAGTAAAACAGACAAAAATCCCTACCAAGCGGGAGGTTATATTCCAGTGAGAGGCAAAAAAACCACTCCAGCATACCTCCCATACCTCTGCTGCATTCCAACTGACTGCTGTAAAGAAAAATCATAATGCCCTACGATGCTGATATCCTGCTAAGAGTTTTATTATTTTGTTACAAGTGGGGCCTCTTACAGTAGAAAACCAGAAACATAGCAAAATGTCATTATGTTCTATCTTGCTAAGCAATTTAACCAAATAGATCAATTCCACTGTCTATACATGGCTTCATAGGCACTTAAAGCAGATAGGGTCATACAGAACAAATCTCTCAGGATCCCTGGAGACCACCCAGTGTATCTCTACTTCATAAGAGGAGGTAAGGCTGGGCTCGGTGACTCAAGCCTGTAATTCCAGCACTTTGGGAGGCTGAGGCGGGCAGATCACGAGGTCAAGAGATGGAGACCATCCTGGCCAACATGGTGAAACCTCGTCTCTACTAAAAATACAAAAATTAGCCGGGTGTGGTGGCATGCACCTGTAGTCCCAGCTACTTGGGAGGCTGAGGCAGGAGAATGCTGGAACACAGGAGGCGGAGGTTGCAGTGAGCCAAGATTGCACCACTGCATTTCAGCCTGATGACAGAGTGAGACTCTGTCTCACCCAAAAAAAAAAAAAAAAAAAAAAAGGAGGTTATGCTCTAAGCACCTTCTTACAACAAAGGGAAAAATTCCAACCCTGAGAAAATGTAGACCATTAACTTATTTACACAGATTTGTAGAAATCATAAAGTGAAAAATAAATTATCAATAAGATCAGTGGAATGGGAAGAAAGTGGCCACACAGCTGTGTCCTCATCAAGATGTTTCCCTGTCATCAAAAATACAACCCAAGAGCAAGATGGGAGTGAATGTGGATAATGGGGGAGGCCAAAGATCTCACATCTAATTTTCTTGTTAACTACTCTGCAGTAAGACTGCTGAGCTAGATTCCTACCTTCTTTTGGGTTCTGCTTAAACTGTGCAGAAAGAGAAGAAAGAAAGATGACATCTCTGTCCCGGTCCTTCCAAGAGACACGAAAGATCTTACAGACCAGCTGTAAGGCCTGCTCTTCAGATACTTCAGGGCCTGAGGAAGGCTCCTGGTGAAGAAGAAGACTTACAGGTTAATTTCAAATAAGAGGTATGAGTTAGGTACTTCAATAGAAATACGTTATTCTGATTTAATTCATTATTAGTGATGGTATTAAAATGCATGAAACCTTTCACCCACTGATTAGGGGAAAAGTAGGCCTGTTACTATGACATCAAAATTATAACATCTAAGTCTCATGAGCTTACAGTACAATCTATGGGGAGCATAAAAGAGCAAAGGTGGCCAGGTGTAGTGGCTCACAAGTGTAATCCCAGCACTTTGGGAGGCCAATGTGGGTGGATCACCTGAGGTCAGGAGTTCAGGCCCTAACCAACATGGTGAAACCTGGTCTCTAATAAAAATAAAAAAAACTAGCCAGGCGTGGTGGCAAGCGCCTGTAATCCCAGCTACTCGGGAGGCTGAGGCATGGGCATCACTTGAACCAGGAGGCAGAGGTTGCAGTGAGCCAAGATCATGCCACTGCACTCTAGCCTGGGTAACAGAATGAGAACCTGTCTCAAAAAAAAAAAAAAAAAAAGAGCAAAGGCATTATCAAAAGTCACCAAGAAAAAAAATGTGAAAGAAGATGTATATATCCTATTTATTTACTTTTCTGAATTCCACAGGACCAGGTTAACATTCTAGGTTGCATAATCAATTCTCCTCCAGAAATTTTTCAAAAATGGAACATTTCTCATTACACGCCATCACAGATAAAATGTCATATATAATTTTGTAAACATTAAAGAACTATACAAAATAAAGCACTGCACCACTATGAAGCTACAGTGCTCCTTTTTTTTCTTTTTTTGTCTTTTTTATTTTTATTTTTGTTTACAATGCAACTTCTAATAATCATTAACATGTGTTGCTAAAGGATTCCTAATAATTTACTGAAAAGAAAGTGACATAATTATCTATCTATATAAATATAAACACACACACACACACACACACACACACACACACACCCACCCAAATACAGAGCACTAAGCTCAGGTGGTAATCAAACATAAAGGCTTCATGTTTTCAAAAACTTTCCACTTGCTACTGGATTTTACATATTCTTGCTTCATTCTCAGTCATTTCTCTCAGAATACTGCTAAAGATGTGATAACCTACTTGTTTAAAAGCAAAAGATCAGCACAGAGAACTGTAATTACCTCTAAATTCGTTCCTATTACAAACTAAATTTACTGATAAAACCATTGCCCTGAACCAGAAACAGATGGATAACATCAGATCAAGGGAGTGAGTTACATTTCCATGAATAAGAGCAATCTAGGTTATTCATTTTTCCTCAAAAGAATAAAAATAATCACCTGCCTAGGACTTCCTGATTTGGAGTGGCCCCACGCTAATAGACACAAGACATGAAATGGTTTTTTTTATATTACCTGTACCAAGGGCTTCATCGCTTACCAACCTTATCAGTGAGGCTCCGTTTTTCTCTTCGATCATTTTCATCAACCTCCATGTTTTCAATTCCTGAATCCACATCTACCTGGGACATGCTTAAAGTACAAAAGACAAGCCTTTTACCTTTTATAAATCCGTACAATGTCACTGTAGCTGCTGGTTGAGGAAAAGTTTTAAAATATCAATTAAATTAAAAAATATATATATATATATCAATTAAATCAATCATGAAAGCAAAACGATGATGGTCCATCTTTTTTCTTATTAATTTTTAAGAGTTCTTCATAAATTAGGATCTAAACATTCCGTCTCTCATACATGTTGAAAATATTTTTCCTAAGTTGTTATTTTCTTGGGCTCACTTTTAAAAAGTGTATCATTAAAGTAGGTTCTTTATTATTTTTAAACAACATAAAACTAACCAGGCCAGGTACAGTGGCATGCGCCTACAGTCAAGCTACTTAAGGAGGCTGAAGCTGGAGGATCACGTTAGCCCAGAAGTTTGAGGCTGTAGGCACTATTATTGTGCCCGTGAATAACCACGGTATTCCAGTCTAGGCAGCACAGCAAGACTCCGTCTCTTAAAAAAATTTAATAAAAATTTTAAAAAATGTAATTAAGAAAATTAAAAACTCAACTGAAGCCTTATTACAAAAACTGATTAAGTACATATTATTTCCCCTGATTAAACAATTGCTCTAGCACCATTTATTGGAAAGATCATCCTTTTTACATTAATGTGAAATCTATGTCACATGTCCAGTTTTCATTAATGAGAAACAACTAATTTCTGTTCTGTTAGACAATGTGTCTGTTCCTGACCAATACCCCTCTGTCTGAATTACTAAAACTTCAAAGTCTTGATATCTGCTAGGTCAATGTCTCCACCTTGTACTTCTACTTTAAGGGGTCTTGGCCATCCTTTGCTCTTTCCTCTTCTACATATACTTAAGAGTCAGCCTGAGGAATTCCTTTAAAACCCTCCCGGGATTTTGACCAGAATTTCTTTGACTCTTAGAGATCAAATTAGGGAGAAGTAATATAATTATGTTACTGAGGTTTTCATTACTCTCCAAGTATTAAGACCTTCTTTAAGGACTATCAGTAAACTTTAATACTTTTCTCCAAAAAATTTTACATTTCTTTTGCTAAATTTATTCCAAGGTACCATATGTTAATACTTTTTAATGAAATTGTGAATGGTACCTTTTTTAAAATTAAGTTTTCTAATTTTTTGTTGTTGGCAGGCAGGAATGTAACATTTTAAATATACACTTCTTCTAAGCAACTTATTTATTTATACATAGAAAGTTTACCATGTAAATAATCTTTTTTTTTTTTTTTTTTGAGACAGAGTCTTGCTCTGTCACCCAGGCTGGAGTGCAGTGGTGTGATCTCAGCTCACTGCAACCTCCACCTCCCACGTTCAAGCAATTCTCCTGCCTCAGCCTCCTGAGTAGCTGGGATTACAGGCATGTGCCACCATGCCCAGCTAATTTTTTTTTGTATTTTTAGTAGACACAGGATTTTACCATGTTGACCAAGCTGGTCTCGAACTCCTGACCTTGTGATCTGCCCACCTCAGCCTCCCAAAGTGCTGGGATTACAGGCATGACCCATTGTACCTGGCCACCATGTAAATAATTTATCTGCAAATTATAACTGCTGTTTCTTCCATTCCAATCCTTACTTGTTTTACTGTACTGCTGAATACAAGAAGAAATAGCAGTCATCCTTGTTCTTATTGCTGATTTTACAGAAAATGATGCTAACTTCTCACCACTGAATATGAGAGCTACTGTAGTTTTTTGGTAGATGCCCTTTATATTAGAGTAAGACAGGCTATACTGTCATAACACATACCCTCTGAAATCTTAGAGGCTTAACACTGTAAGGATTTAGTTCTTGCTTACACAAAGTCTGATGAGAGTGAAGCATCCTTACTCCATCTTTAATCTATGCCATCTGCAATACACAGCCTCCAAGGTCACTGGAGCAAGAGAAGAGAGGGATGGAGGAGGAAGGTCGGCTCAACTGCCTTCATCTAAAAGTGACACATGTCACTCTAGTTCATAGTCTACTGGACAGAACTAGTCACTTGGCCCCAATCTAACTAACTGTAAAAGAGAATGGGAAACGCTGGGGAGCATGTGGAATATTTGGTGAACTTTGTCTGTGCCACACTGTGAGTTTAAGGATACTCCTTTCTGTTTGTTTGCTTACTATCATGAATTACTGTGGAATTTTATCAAACTCTTGCCACTACCAACATTATAAGGATTTTCTTTTTAACATACAATATGGTAGATAATATTTCTAGGTTTTCTAATGTCAGTGCATCCTTGCATTCTTAAAATCAATTTATCATATTATATTGTATTATTTTAAAGCAAACTTTTAATTGAAATGTAAGACACCTGTAATCCCAGCATTTTGGGAGGCCGAGGCAGTAGATCATAAGAGGCAAGGAGTTCGAGACCAGCCTGGCCAATACGGTGAAACTCCATCTCTACTAAAAATACAAAAATGCACTGCAGGCTAGCCTGGGTGACAGAGCAAGACTCTGTCTCAAAAAAAAAAAAAAAAAAAAAATTATGTGTACAGAAATGTGTACAGAAATGTGCACAGATATGTTTGACCAAATATACTTCCACAAAGTAAACATACCAACGTATTCGGCACCCAGATCAGGAAACAGAACATTACCAGTATTCCAAAAGCCCTGTTGTGATTCTCCCGATCCCTGCTGTTCTAGCTCACAGTCATTATTGCCCTGGCATCTAACCCCATAGAATAGTTTTGCCTGGTTTTTTTTTTTGTTGTTGTCATGTATTGCAGTATTTAATTTGTCAGCAGTTTAAGATTTTTGCAAATATATTCATGAGTATGAATATCATATACTTTTCTCCTTTTACATTATTCTGGCATGGTTTTAATATTAGTGTCACATTAGCCTCATAAATTGAGTTGAAGTGTACATTTTTTTTTTTAATTATTGGAAAAAATGTGTAAAACTGATCATTGGAATTAGGGCTAAATCATGAAGGAACTCATGCAGAAAGAGAATAGAAGGCTGGTTACCAGAAGTTGAAAAAGGCAGTGGGAAGTAGGGATGGCACCAAAAATAAAAGTCAGAAGGAATGAATAAGATCTAGTATTTGACAATACAACAGAGGTACTATAGTCAAGAATAATTGTACATTTAAAAATGACTAAAAGAGGCTGGGGGTGGTGGATCACTTGAGGTCAGGAGTTCCAGACCAGCCTGGCCAACATGGTGAAACCGTATCTGTACTAAAAATACAAAAATTAGCTAGGTGTGGTGGCCTGTGCCTGTAGTCCCAGCTACTCAGGAGGCTGAGGTATAAGAAATGGTTGAACTTGGGAGGGGGAAGATGCAGTGACCCAAGACTGCATGCACCACGACACTCCAGTCCGGGAGACAGAGTGAGACTCCGTCTCTAAAAAAGACATAAATAAAAGACATAATTTGATTGTTTGTAACTAAAAGGATAAATGCTTGGGGGGATGGACACCTAATTTTCCCTGATGTAATTATTATACATTGCATGCCTGTACCAAAATATCTCAGATGCCCCTTAAATATATATACCTACTATGTACCCACTAAAATTAAAAATTAAAAAAAAAAACAAAAATCAAAAAACAGGCCCAGCTTGTTTTTTGTCCAAATCTGTAAATGTCTTTATTTCCCTTTGCTTTAAGCAGTTCCAAGCCAGGCGTGGTGGCTCATGCCTGTAATCCTAGCACTTTGGAAGGGCAGGAAGATCGCTTGAGGCCAGGCGTTTGAGATCAGCCTGGGCAACATAAGGAGACTCTGTCTCTACCAAAAATTTAAAAATTAACCAGGTATGGTGGCACAGGCCCATAGTCCAAGCTACTCTGGAGGCTGAGGTGGGAGGAATGCATGAGCCTGGGAGTTCACAAGGCTGCAGTGTGCCATGACTGTAGCAATGTACTCCTGCCTAAGCAAAAGAGTGACTACCTGTCTCAAAAAAATAGTCATGAGTTCAAGACCAGCCTGGCCAATATGGTGAAACCCCATCTCTACTAAAAAAATACAAAAATTAACCAGGCATGGTGGCATGCACCTGAAGTCCCAGCTACTAGGGAGGATGAGGCATGAGAATGTTCGAGTCCTGGAAGCAGAGGCTGCAGTCGGCCGAGATTCTGTGCCACTGCACTCCAGCCTGGGTGACAGAGTGAGACCCTGTCTCAAAATAAATAAAATAAAATAAAATAGAAAACAGAAAAAAGAAAGAAAACGGGCAGTTCCACGGGAGTACACATTTCCCAGTTGACAGTTACTTTCTTTCAACTGTTATTCTGCCATCCTCTGGCCTCCATCATTGAGATATTTGGCTGTGATTTCTTTAACAGATAATCTCTCTTTTCTCTCTGGCTGCTTTAATGGTCTTTTTCTCTGCAAGGAGTGGGGATATTTATATTTAAATAAATAAATGAAAAAGTTTTTGTCACTGGTGTTCTATAATTTCACTATACAACGTGTAGATACGACTTTCTCTTTGTTTATTCTGCTTGAGATTCATTAGGCTTCCTAAATCTGAAGATTCATATCATTTACCAACTATCAAGAAAAATTCAGTCATGGATTTTTTTTTTTTTTTTTTTTTTAAGACAGAGTCTCACTCTGTTGCTCAGGCTGTAGTGCAGTGGTGTGATCTTGGCTCACTGCAACATCCACTTCCCGGGTTCAAGCGATTCTCCCTCCTCAGCCTCCTGAGTAGCTGGGATTACAGGTGCATGTTCCATGTCCCAATAATTTTTGTATTTTTAGTAGATACGAGATTTCAACATGTTAGCCAGGCTGGCGTCTGACTCTTGACCTCAAGTGAATGGCTGTCTTGGCATCCCAAAGTGCTGGGATTACAGGCGTGAGCCACTGCGCCCAGACTCAATTCCCCTTTTCATCTGTGTAGCCCACTGACACAAACTGAGGGGATTGCTTGAGGGCAGAGAAGCCAGGTCTAAGGAGTCTGACTTGCTCGATCATTAAAGAAATCAATACCTCAGCCATTCTATCACCCATTTTTGGCACATATGCAGCATAAGAGGGCTGTTTCAAGACACCCTAATCCTTATGAAGCAAATAGGGTATTTGGCTTACCTATCTGAAACATTCCAAACTTTAAAATTTCATTAATCAGTAAAAGTTTTAGGGAAAGACATATGCTTGCCGACTTTGTATTTACAAAATGAAAACAATCATTTTTTATTTTTACCGACTACACCATTATTTCATAAAAGACATTTAACACACAAGTATAGTGGGCCAGGTATGGTGGCTCATGCCTGTAATCCCAGTCCTTTGGGAGGCCGAGGCAGGCAGATCTCTTGAGGCCAGGAGTTTGAGACAAGCCTGGCCAACATGGTGAAACCCTGTCTCTGTTAAAAATACAAAAATTAGGCCGGGTGCGGTGGCTCACGCCTGTAATCCCAGCACTTTGGGAGGCCGAGGCAGGTGGATCACGAGGTCAATAGATCGAGACCATCCTGGTCAACATGGTGAAACCCCGTCTCTACTAAAAATACAAAAAAAATTAGCTGGGCATGGTGGTGCGTGCCTGTAATCCCAGCTACTCAGGAGGCTGAGGCAGGAGAATTGCCTGAACCCAGGAGGCGGAGGTTGCGGTGAGCCGAGATCACGCCATTGCACTCCAGCCTGGGTAACATGAGTGAAACTCCGTCTCAAAAAAAAAAATACCAAAAAAAATTAGCTGGGCATGGTGGCGCGTGCCTGTAATTCCAGCGACTCAGGAGGCTGAGGCAGGAGAATTGCCTGAACCCAGGAGGCGGCGGTAGTGGTGAGCCGAGATCGCGCCATTGCCCTCCGGCCTGGGTAACAAGAGCGAAACTCCGTCCCAAAAAAAAAAAAAATACAAAAATTAGCCAGCCATGGTGGTGCACACCTATAATCCCAGCTACTCAGGTGGCTGAGGCAGGAGAATCACTTGAGCCTGGGAGATGAAGGTCGCAGTGAGCCAAGATTGTGCCACTGCACTCCAGCCTGGGTTACAGAGCAAGACTCAACAACAACAACAAGAGTATGAAGAACATTTCTGAATAATACAAAACCTTTAATAAATTTGACACTAATTTGCTAAGGAATGGTATGGTCTCTAGCTGGCAATTTAAGACTACTGGATTAGAGACTAAAGTGAATGGATCTTTCTCTTTCCCGAAATAAAACAGCATGTAAGAAAACTGGCTTCACTTTACCTTTTCTCGCATGAGACACCATCGATATCCATGCTCTGAGAACGTGAGAGAGACTGAGATTGTGTTTCAAGGCTATTAGAGGGCGAGCTGCTGAGAGAACTGACTCCTTCACTGCTCTGGCTTCGATGGGCTACTCCTAGACGGAAAACATGGTAAGGATGAAGCCCCATGTGAAATAACGTCGAAGCTATTTGTAATAGCAACAGTAAACACGCACAATCTGCAGTCACACCATCATGATATTGCAGCAACCTAGGAATTTCTATCAGGCTATATAAAAAGCTGGAAACAATATTAAAATCCTAGGAACATTACTAAGAAATCATAAGTTATCAATATACTTCATATGAGGTCAGTAACAGCTACACCTAATGCCTAAAACTCACTCCTCATCACCTCTCTTGCACCAATTCAAACAATGGTCCACAAATACAAATTAGAAATACAGCCGGGCGCGGTGGCTCACGCCTGTAATCCCAGCACTTTGGGAGGCCGAGGCGGGTGGATCACGAGGTCAAGAGATCGAGACCATCCTGGTCAACATGGTGAAACCCCGTCTCTACTAAAAATACAAAAAATTAGCTGGGCATGGTGGCACGTGCCTGTAATCCCAGCTACTCAGGAGGCTGAGGCAGGAGAATTGCCTGAACCCAGGAGATGGAGGTTGCGGTGAGCCGAGATCGCGCCATTGCACTCCAGCCTGGATAACAAGAGCAAGACTCCGTCTCAAAAAAAAAAAAGAAATACAGGCCGGGCACAGTGGCTCAAGCCTGTAATCCCAGCACTTTGGGAGGCCGAGGCAGGTGGATCACCAGGTCAAGAGATCAAGACCATCTTGGCCAACAAGGTGAAACCCCGTCTCTACTAAAAATACAAAAATTAGCTGGGTGTGGTGGCATGTGCCTATAGTCCCAGCTACTTGGGAGGCTGAGGCAGGAGAATTGCTTGAACCAGGGAGGCGGAGGTTGCAGTGAGCCGAGATTGTGCCACTGCACTCCAGCCTGGCGCCTGGCGATAGAGTGAGACTCTGTCTCAAAAAAAAAAAAAAAAAAAAAAAAAAAGAAATACAAATTAACTTCCATGATGGTCCAGAAAAATCCTTGCAGTGTAAATAAGATATATTAATAAACCAGGCCAGTGCAGTGGCTCACACTTGTAATCCCAACACTTTGGGAGGCTGAGGCAGGTAGAACACCTGAGGTTGGGAGTCCAAGACCAGCCTAGCCAACATGGTGAAACCTCGTCTCTACTAAAAATACAAAAATTAGTCGGGTCCCTGTAATCGCAGCTATTCAGGAGACTGAGAATCTGGATGGTGAGTATATGGGTCTTCCTTGCAAAATTCTCTCAACTTTATGTTTAAAATTTTGGTAATAAAATGTTGAAAAAAATACAAGTGGACTACTCAACAATGTCCTTTGATATAGATTGATCCATTTATTGATTGAACACCTTAGTGGATATTAAAAACCTGATACTTTGTTGCCCTCACAGAGCTTACAGTACAGTGAAACTGCAGTCGTTAGTATAGGGACAGACAATTTCTCACAGCAATTTCCTCATCAATGTCTTTAAAATCATGTTTCACACTGAAGTTTTAAAAATTACTTTAACTCAATGAATATCTTCCTATGAAAACAGAAGAAATACCCAAGCATTTGCAAATACTTTAAAATATATATACCTATGGAGCTGAAAGAAAAATGACAGTTTAAAAAAACCATCGGCTGGGAATGGTGGCTCACGCCTGTAATCCTAGAACTTTGAGAGGATGAGGAAGGCGGATCACTTGAGGTCAGGAGTTTGAGACCAGCATGGCCAATATGGTGAAACCCTGTTTCTACTAAAAATACAAAAATTAGCCAGGCATGATGGCACACACCTGTAATCCCAGCTACATGGGAGGCTCAGGCAGGAGAATTGCATTAACTTGGGAGGTGGAGGTTGCAGTGAGCCAAGATGGCGCCACTGCACTGCAGCCTGGGTGACAGAGAGGGACTCCATCTCAAAAAAAAAAAAGATATGAAAAAAAACCCCAGAGAAACTTGAGAGTTTCCAGTCGGAGTGAAAACAATTACTAAATAAATACAATTTTAACCCTTCCAGCATTCTATGAAAGTAAATTTGCCACCTTTTAATGTTTCTCTTCGTTGAAGAATATTACAAAACATTTTTCCATTCTTGAAAGCAGTTCTTTGCATGTACTAACTTATTAAAACTTCCAAAGGACTTATGGAGAAAATAAAAAGCTAAATTTTCTCTCTTCCTAAGACTCAGTAAAATACAAAAGACATCAAATGTAGTGAGAATTCTGAAACAAGCTCGTAGAAGACAGTAAAACTTTTAATTCATTAGTTTCAAGAAATATAACCCAAAGTAAGTTCTGAAAAAAAAATTTATTGAATGAATAAATAAAAGAGCATCAATAAGGTTCTTAGAATTCTTAGAATATTATTTTACCTATCACAAGTAAAAGTCAAGTAACTTTTAAGTTAAAATTAATCAATAATAAAGTTCAATGATCATTATGGTAGCAAATAAGCAGGCTTTAAAATTTCTACCTATAAAACCAGTTCTAAAATTAAACTCATAATTATATATTGTTTTAAAAACTCTATCTGTAACACAGTAGAGTGTGTGTACAACAACAGTGTAGTAACAGAGCACCAGTGTGTATCACACAGTGTAATCTATTGCATTTGTAATATTTTTATAAGACATCAAAGAGATCATGTGAATTCATTTTTTCCTGCATCTCCACATGATCTTCATATTGCGGGTCAAGTGGTGCAATTCTGCAGCAATTGCAACAATTTATTATGTATACAAGTGTTCCTCAATCTCTGAACACCATGTGATTCCATTCGTTCTATCTATCTATCTATCTATCTATCTATCTATCTATCTATCTATCTATCTATCTATTTGAGACAGAGTTTCACCCTTGTTGCCCAGGTTGAGGTGCAATGGCATGATCTCGGCTCACCGCAACCTCCACCTCCTGGGTTCAAGCAGTCCTCATGCCTCAGCCTCCCGAGGAGCTGGGATTACAGGCATGCACTACCATGCCTGGCTAATTTTTGTACTTTTAGTAGAGAAGGAGTTTAACCATGTTGGTCAGGCTGATCTTGAACTCCTGAGCTCAGGTCATCCACCTGCCTCAGCTTCTCAAAGTGCTAAGATTACAGGCGACACAGTGCCCAGCCTCCTTATTTTCTTTTAAGAGATAAGTCTCTCGGCCGGGCGCAGTGGCTCACACCTGTAATCCTAACACTTTGGGAGGCCGAGGCAGGCAGATCACCTGAGGTCAGAATTTCAAGACCAGTATGGCCAACAACATGGTGAAACCCCACCTCTACAAAAATACAAAAATCAGCTGAGCATAGTGGCGGGCACCTGTAATCCCAGCTACTCTGGAGACTGAGGCAGGAGAACTGCTTGAACCCAGGAGGCAGAGGTTGCAGTGAGCCAAGATAGTGCCATTGCACTCCAGCCTCAGTGACATGCAGTGAGCCATGATTGCATTACTGCCCTCCAGCCAGGGTGACAGAGGGAGACTCCGTTTCAAAAATAAAATAATAAAATTCGGCCAGGCGCAGTGGCTTACATCTGTAATCCTAACATTTTGGGAAGCCAAGGCAGGTAGATCACCTGAGGAGTTCAAGACCAACCTGGCCAACATGGTAAAACGCCATCTCTAACTAAAAATACAAAAATTAGCCAGCCATGGTGGTAGGCGTCTGTAATCCCAGCTACTTGGGAGGCTGAGGCAGGAGAACTGCTTGAACCCAGGAGGCAGAAGTTGCAGTGAGCTGAGATCATGCCCCCGCACACCAGCCTGGGCAACAGAGCGAGACTCCATCTCAAAAAATATATAAACAAAAATAAAATAATAAGGCCAGGCGTGGTGGCTCACGCCTATAATCCAAGCACTTTGGAGGCCACGGCGGGCGGATCACCTGAGGTCAGGGGTTCAAGACCAGCCGGACCAACATGGTGAAACCCCGTCCTTAAAAAAATAATAATAAATAAAGTAAAATAAAATAAAATAATAAAATAAAATAGTAAATGAAATAAAATGACATTTCAAGTCTGTGAAGAACAATAATGGTATCTTAAATACTGGGATAAGAAAATCAACAGCAAGAATTAGAAAATTACTTTGATCTTCATATTCATAAGATAGAATATCCTTTCCTTAGTGTCAAAAGGCAGAATCACGCATAGAATCATACACGTGGAGTCAGTAGACCAGGACTGCTCCTTGGAGAACTGGCTGATTTCTAGAGCTGGGGCAGGAAAAATCCAAGGTTAAGTCTAGAGCATCTTACAGTGCCAGAAAGACAGTGTTCAAAAAAAAATAAAAGGCACGTCAAATGGACCAAGGATCCAACTTGAAAGAACTCCCATGGTCAAAGCTGGAATAATTCCTGAAAAATAAGTAATGCTGCTATTGAAATCATAACCAAAGTATAAAATAAATGTGTATGAGTTCATACTGATCTAAGAGATTAAATACATAACAGGGGAAAAGGGACAAGTTTTCCTTATAGAATTCCAAATTATATATATGTACTTACCCATTCCAGGAGGTAAAGTTTAATTCCCAACCCTTAAAAAAAAAAAGGCACTCCATACCGAAGAACTGAGTATGGAAAGGGAAAAACAGTAACTTCACGTGGAGAAATTTGGCCAGCACTAACTTAGGCATGTGGTGATGGTTATCAGCACCAGGGACATCATGTGGATACTACACACCCCTGATAGGATGTGATGGGAATGGCACTTCACCTGTGTGACATTCTTCCCCAAAACCCATAACCGCAGTCTAATCGTGAGGAAAGCACCAGACAAAGCCAAATTAAGGGACATTCTTCAAAGTACTGACTAGTATTCTTCAAAACTGTCAAGATCATGAAAACAAGACTGAGATGCTGCCATAGACCAATGGAGACTGAGGAGACGCATGTTTCGTTAAAATCATATCCAGGCCAATTCCTTCGTTTTCACAAATGAACCAGATATTAACATTAGGGGAAACTGGATGAAGGGTACACAGCAATCCTGTATACTATTTTCATAACTTTCCTATACATCAAAAATTATTCTAAAATAAATGTTTATTTTACCAAAAAA